GTGCCGAAAGTTACTTTAAACATTATTTATGTGATTTTTCCGTTTTTAAAACCGATAAGCATCCGGTTTAGCCTCTGGTTGGGTTATAAGATACTTTTACCCAAAACTAGGCCCACAATAAGAAGTCCTGGGCTTTCATTTTCTTCCTGTTTTTTTTTTTTACTTATCAAATCAAAACAGCATTTATTTTGATACCATTAAGTTTTCGGAAGAAAAAAAGAAAAAAATAACAGAGGAGGAACGAGATCTACCTCGGAGCCATAGTGCGGTGTAGAAGAAGCAGGGAGCTTCATAAAACCCTAGAGATCGGAAGACGAACGAGACGTTGAAGGAGGTGAGGATAAGATTTACCCAACGCTCGAAGATGAACATTTTCAGATTAGCAGGTGATATGACTCACCTGGCCAGTGTTCTCGTCTTGCTTCTCAAGATCCACACCATCAAATCCTGCGCCGGTACGTACATTTCCTCTCCGAATTTGGCTGTGCGTTTACAATCAGACTGCGATTATTGCTAGCCTCCATGTTTCTTCGATTTGCCTCTTCGAAATTGACGTTGACCATTTGATTCTCACCTGATATGATTCAATTGTAGAAATTACGGATCTAGTTCGTGTTTCGGTAGTAATTTGGCTATTGAGTGTAGGAGGAGATAGAGAGACTGATCTCAAATCGCGTTGATCCAAGGAAATTTCAGTCTTCGTTAATGGAATTGAATGATTTTGCATATCGATTTGGTTCATTTTAGAGATCGGCTATAAAGCTATTTGTGTTTCAGAAACACGTGTTTATGAGAATTTCATATGCGTTTGGTTATTTTCAGGTGTCTCATTGAAGACTCAAGAACTCTATGCCATTGTCTTTGCTACGCGATATTTGGATATTTTCACGAGTTTCGTGTCTGTCTATAACACCTTTATGAAGTTGGTATTCTTAGGAAGTTCCTTTTCGATTGTTTGGTACATGAGGTATCATAAGGCTGTCCACAGGACCTATGATAGGGAGCAAGATACGTTTCGCCATTGGTTCCTTGTGCTTCCATGTGTACTCTTAGCTCTTCTCATACACGAAAAGTTTACCTTCCTTGAGGTTTGTCTTGTCAAAGATATTGCAATATGTTTTCCCGGGAGTCTAAACTCTTTTGTTCGGCAGGCTGATTTATTTTTGTGCAATTGGTATCTGCAATATCAGGTACTGTGGACGTTTTCATTGTACTTGGAGGCTGTTGCCATATTACCTCAGCTTGTTTTGCTGCAAAGGACTAGAAATATCGACAACTTGACCGGGCAATATATATTTCTCCTTGGGTATGATCTTGTTTCATAACTTCCCTTTGTTTGAAAAGTATCCTTGCTTCTTCATCACTTCTCTTGACTGGATCCACATTTCAATTTGAACATTTCATATATGTTCATGTCTCCGTACTTCACGAATTTGGATATTCTGCACTTTGTGTTCTGTTCTACTAATGTGCTATCAATGCTATCTTTCTTTTCTTGAATGACATCCTGCCCTATTTACATCATTTGACTGTTCTCCTGCCAAAGTTTATGATTTAGTTACCCCCCGAGTTTCATACTTCGATTTCTGTACCAATATCTGCTTGCAGGGGATACCGGGCATTGTACATCGTCAACTGGATCTATCGTTACTTCACTGAGCCGCACTTTGTTCATTGGATAAGTATGACTCTTTCTCCCCTTTAACATGCCTCGCCATGTAATGCAGCACACTTGAGCCCATGAGCATCTGTTTATATACCTGCTAATTGGATTAGTTTGTTGTCAAGTTTTGCACTTATGACTTCTAACGTCATGTCAGTTACTGCCCGACTAAATTTAGCTTTCGGATTCAGAAAATACACATGAATCTTGTAGAAAACATGTTGGTTTTCCAGCAATAATGCATCATTGCCTCCCATGATTCACATTTTTCAATATTTTGTTGTCTTGTTAATATTCATGGTCTGACCTTTTAAAAAATGTGTGATTATGATGATGCAGCATGGATCGCTGGGCTTGTTCAAACATTGCTCTATGCTGATTTCTTCTATTATTATTTCCTAAGGTGACGGTAACCCCATATTCTCTTCTTGTTATTGTTCCAAACTCTAGTTCTGCCTTTGACTGTTTTTTGTTTTTTCCTTTCTGAATTTAATGTTTGCAGCTGGAAGAACAACAAAAAGCTCCAATTGCCAGCTTAATCGGAAACCCTATGGATTCAATTTGGTGCGCGACACAATATCCCCCGGGAAGTTACCAATGTAATCCGTTGGTGGTTAGTAGAGGAGAACGAGCATAGATGTGTAAACTCCAGCAATCTAACTTATTACACTTTTTTTTTTAACTTTATCGTGTCAGTTTTTTCGCTCGAGTTAGTGTCCCTAAATATATTGACAGGAAGTAAAATATTCATCACATTTCACAACGAGATGTGAGCTATTTTAAAATTGGGGAAAATGTGGAACTCCAGTTTTATAAAGAAATTAAGACTTCTGTAATGTTCTATGGGATAATAAGGAGCTCAGGCTTCTCAAATCTTTTTCTACCAATCAAGTGATCTAGGTGAGGTAGCAATTTAGAGAAGCATTAAATCTGAAGCTAAACTTTTGTAACGAGTAGAACACAAATTTTGTTAAGTACAATTAATCTAACGTTTTGTCATGCACATGTTCTAGTTATGTAGATTTTTCTACGCACTCAAATCAAATACTTGATATGTTTTTACCAACGGTCGAGCGAATCAACATATTTTATTAAATAAAGCTATTGTCGAAGAGAGTAGAACATAATGGATTACTACGTCTTACAAAAGAAAGAGAATATATTTGGCAACAAAATGGAGATGGGCAAATTGGGCATGGGATAATAAGAATAGCGTGTAGGAGATGTATAGAGAATTTGATGTGACTCTAATCCCTCTCTGTCTGCTCCATATTTTTCATGCTTTCTACTTTTCCTACTTATAAAACCAGCTCAGCTTGTATATGCGCAACACTATAGTAGCTTATACAAAATTAAACCAAGATGGAATATTTGAGAATTCTTAGTGTTTTTGCAGTAGCGTTATGGATCATAGTGGTTGATGCTAGGGTTCGCGGAGGGAGAGGAATCGAAAAATATGTTACTTTCGGTCAGAACTTTGTTGTTACATGGGGCCAGGGTCATGTCTCCGCAATCCACTCTGGCAAAGAAGTTGATCTCTACATGGATCAGTCTTCAGGTTAGTAATCTCTTTTTCTTTCTTCTTATGAAGAGAAGAGTTTGTATAATCCAAAAGGCTTTATTCCGGTCCAAGAGAGTGTGATCCAATGTTTTGTTCGAGTGGATAGAGAATTCATGCCAAAAATTAAATTTCACCTTCTAAGAAAATTGGTGAGGTTCATTTTTGGCCACTGTAAACGTGTATAGTAGCAAGAATACCGAGCTTTTTCAATGTTTTAGGGTTCCATCTGGGTTTCGGCTTGGAATCTACACAACACTGATTATAAAAAAACTAAAGTAGGACACAAAAGATTTACTAGCGAAAACATTGTATTTAGGATCATATCATATGGTGTGTAGTTAAATACTAAGTAATACTTGTTTGGCTTCTAGGTGCTGGGTTCGAGTCCAAAGGCACCTACGGATCAGGTCTCTTTCAAATGAGAATCAAAGTGCCCGGAGGAAATTCTGCCGGCGTCGTTACTGCTTTTTACGTTCGTTTCTATTTTGTTTATATGCATGCATGTACCATACATACACATGCGTCGAGTATTTCAAAATCAATTACTAAATAGGTCTCTTGATAAATTGTCTTTATATGTAAATAATTACAGTTGACTTCAAAGGGAGGTAGTCGCGATGAGGTTGACTTTGAGTTCTTAGGAAACAACGATGGAAGACCGATAACGTTGCAGACAAATGTGTTTGTGAATGGAGTAGGAGACAGAGAAGAGAGATTTCTGCTTTGGTTCAACCCCATCAAACACTACCATACTTATGGAATTCTTTGGAACCGTTACCAAATTGTGTACGTTATAACAAACTTACAATCCTTCTTATTATTCTTATGTTCTTTTATTCATTTCATGCAAAATGATGTTTTGTTTGTCGAATGCAAGAATTCAATATTTTTGAAACCATCTAAAATTCCAAAACATCTAACAACTAAAATGGTTGAACAAAATATATTTCAGTCGTTTTCTACTCTTTTAGATATAGTACTATGTCTATTCAACTAAACATCATCCAATCAAACAGAGAATTTTTTTTTGTTTCTATTATTACCCTCAAAGAGATGAAATGATGATGATTTCTCATAATGATGGTTGATATATAGGTTTTACGTGGACAAGATCCCAATAAGAGTGTACAAAAACGAAAAAGGAGTAAGCTATCCATCAAAGCCTATGCAAGTAGAGGCCAGTCTCTGGAACGGTGACGATTGGGCGACAGATGGCGGTCGAACAAAGATAAACTGGTCAAACTCTCCCTTCATTGCCCATTTCCAAGACTTCTCCGGCCTCTTTGGCTGCAACATAAATGGTCGGAGTAATAATGTGGCCGCTTGTGAATCCTCCAACTACTGGTGGAATACAGGCAAGTATCAAAGGCTAAGCGGTTACGAACAGAAAATCTATGAGCATGTGAGGAAAAAGTACATGAACTCTGACTATTGTACTGATCGTTCTAGGTACCCAACTCTTCCTAGAGAATGTTATTGAAACAACATAAACGTTAATTATCATATATGTCCAGGGGATTTTAAATCTCCTTTCCTATAAGAAACAAAAATTTCTTAGGAGGGGAGAGAAGTAAGATCATTTCACAACAACTGAGAATAAAACTGTGTATGCTTGAATATATATAGATGGTTTGCAGTAGAACAAATATGGATGCATTTTTTTTTTGTTTATGTATAATAGTGTCGGAATGGGAGCTCATATCGAAAATACTATCCAAGACCTTGTATGAATGAGTAGAGAAATCTATCATGTTTACTCATTGCACAAGAAAGATTGGAAAACAAGAAAGTTTTTTTTCGAGTTACGATGCGCTCTGCTCTTGGGCACACACACTCAGTCCAAACAAAAACTGTACGACACAGGGCAATTAATTCGATTATTACACAAAACAAAAGAGCTTAAGCTAGATCCCAAACTGGTTATTGTTTTATTGAAAACGTAAATGCAATTGAAAGAAGAATGGAATCTCATAAAGTAACATGAGATATACAGAACCTAAATGGCATTGTCTACAAAAACAAAAACGAATAAAAAAGAAAGAGATGACTAATTTCGCTTCCTTTTGCCTCTACCTTGCTGGATCTGAACCAAACTTGGAACATAATTGAAAAAAACCAGTGGCGACCATGAGATGTATGCAGATTCCAGAAAAGGAATTGCGGTGTAATATTCATTGTCCTCTCCAATAGTGTATAGCTTATTACGACTGAGACTATAACACGAGGCCACTTTCTTCTCCTCGTCGACTAATAGACCCGTGGAAACCTCATAGGGTATATACAATGTAAATGATTTGCTCCACAACAAGGCATCTTGACTGTCAAATTTATTTGTCACCCATATCTCCATCTTGTATCTATCAAAGCACTGATGTAACAATGAGAGTCGTTCTTCTCGAACAACTGACAGAGCAAAACAAGTACGATCCGAAGACGATGGCTGAAGACTCATACGTCTAAATCTCTCACTGGTAAAATCAAAACAGAGTAAAAAATCTATTAGTACCAAAATCTTGAGCAAGGAAATAAGAATTTCCCTTCAAAGACACACCAGCATAGTTTAGTACGAAACATTTGGGATTGATGTCATCAAGAACCCGCCATGTATTAGAAATAAGCTCGTAGATTTCACACTCAACGGCGGGGTTTTCCACTGATTTGAAATTATTCCAATACCTCAAAATTTTGTAGCTGCGACAAGATCTGTTGTTTTGGTATCCTAGAGCAAACCTAGTAGGTCTCTTGTTACCAGTTTTGAGTTGGATCCATTTGGTTTCTCCCAAAAAAGGATTACAGACCCGGCCCTTTTGTCTTTTCTGGTGGTGCATAACAAGAGACCGTCGCAGTGAGAAACTTGGTATATATCGACTTGTTCTTCCTTTAGGCCAAATGCACTTTTAATCTCCACAGAAGGAGGAGCAACGTTGAGATTGACGCTCATTAAATAAACCCTAAATTCTTTCAACATGAGAATCATAGACTGCCTTGCAGCTTTACAAAGGTGCTTCTCGATGAAACTTGGATCTTTGAATAAAGCATTCCATCCTTTGCAAGTCGATCGAAATCGTTTCAGAGATGTGGCTGGAACCCTAGAGAGTATTTCTTCTACCAAATCCTCCGGAAGTGTTTGTGATTTCCCAAAAAGAAAGTAGAAACTATAGAGAGAAAAGTTTC